GGGCCATAGCCATTACCCTAACTGCTGGTCCCAATAGACTTTAAAAAAAAAAAAGTGAGGGCTGCCAGGTGGTGTGGTTGTTAAGGGTGCTAGACTCCCACGTGGCCGACCGTAGTTTGAGTGTCAGATCTAGAGGCTTGCTTTCTCACTTTCTCTCTCCCTCTCTCTTTGTCTCTCACTTGCTCACTCACTCGCTCTGTCCTTCTCTGGTCAAATTAAAATAAATAAATAAAGTTAAATAATTCTTTTTTTAAAAAAAAAGTGAAATACTGACTTTAAGGAGGATGTATTGGATATACTTAAGTATGAATGAGACCAAAATACATAAGAGCAGATTTTCTTATAAAGTGAAAAAGCACCCCCCGGGGGGAAGGCCACATGGGGAATCCCTTTTCCTCTGTCCTCCTCTCAGGATTTTGGGCACGCACATACACATGCCTGGCATTTTTCAAGTGACTGGGTCCAGGACTCAAACCACATAGTCAACCATGTGGGATCCAGTCACCTTAGTCACCGGGCCACCAGCTGGCCCTAAGAGTAGCTTTTCTTACTGTCAGTTGCTGTTCTAACCTTATTCACTGCTCTTTTGTTCTTTATGCAATTTTGTTGTCTATAACTAATATCCAAGATTTATTAGGTGCCTGCTATGTACCAGGCAATAGAAAATACAAAGAAAACAAAGTAAACATTCTCCTCTGGAGGAATAGAACACATAACTAAAAATTAAAAAACAGGGACCAGTCAATGGCATAATGGTTACATCACTGGACTCCCACATGGCAGATCACGGTTCAAGTCCCAGACCCAGAGGCTTGAAATTCACTCCAGGAGTATGTGCATGCATGCCCAAAATCTCAAGAGAAGAATGGAGAAGAAGGAATTGTGGCATAGCCATCCCCCAAAGGAGTGATTTCTCACTTTCTGTCTCTCTGACAAGCACATGCACTCTATAGCAAAAATCTCTCAAAAAAAAAAAAATTGGAATTCAATCTAAACACAGGGGAACTAACCTCTAGCAAGCTCCCCTTAACTCTTTTTATTTTATTTATTTATTTATTTTAATTTGACCAGAGAAGGACAGAGTGAGAGAGAGATAAGGAAATTGAGAAAGTAAGCCACCAGCTCCAGGACTAGAACTGCAGTTAGCAATGTGGGAGTCCAGTGCCCCTAACCACCACACAACCTGCCAGCGCCCCTTAACTCTTATTAAAAGGATATTACAATGGGCTGGCAGTTGACAGCTGGACTCCCACACGGCCGACCGTGGTTTGAGTCCTGGGCCTGGCAACTTGCTTTCTTGCTTTCTCTCACTCTCTCTCTCTCTCTCTCTCATTCTGTCCCTCTCCAGTTACATTAAAATAAATTAATTAATTAAATAAAATAAAGTTTGATAAAATAATTTAATTAAATATTTTTAAAAGGTCATTACAAGGCACTCAAAGATTCAGTCCCAAGAAATACAGAGGACCCCAAATAGAATCAACCCAGGAAGATCTTCTCCAAGACACCTTATAGCCAGATTGACCAAAACCACAGACAAAGACAAGATACTAAGATTGGCAAGAGAGAAAAGGCAAGTTACCTACAAAGCGTATCCCATCAGACTAACGGCAGATCTCTCATCAGAAACAATGCGAGCGAGGAGAGAATGGGAGAATATATTCAAAGCATTAAGGGAAAAGCAATTTCAACCGAGAATTCTGTACCCAGCAAGGTTATCGTTCATTTGGGAAGAAAAGACACGAACTTTCCCAGATAAACAAAACCTGAAAGAATTTACCAGCACCAGACCGGATCTCCAAGAAGTTCTTAAGGGAGTGTTATGTCAATAAAATTAAATGCAGACACACAGAAATAAGAGCAGAAACTAAGAAAATGGGCAACTTAATTGTAGGGCCAAAAGCTGGAGTTGAGTATTATTTCCCAGATTTCAATCTGGAATATCGAACCTCAACAGATACAGAAGAAAGATTAAGTACATGAGACTGAACTGATGAAACAGTATTCTATGACTTGACTAAAATATTGCT